AAGTACAGTCATATTAGGGTACTTTAATATCCCACTGCTATCATTGGATAGGTCTTCCAGACAAAAATATCAATAAGGAAAGAGTGATCTTGAATAACACACTAGATCAGATGGATTTAATTGATATTTACAGAACATTTCATCCCAAAACATAAGAATATACATTCTTCTCAAGTGTACATGGAACATTCTCAAAGATAGACCACATGTTAGGACACAAAACAAGTCTATACAAATTCAAGAAGCTTGATATAATACCAAGCATCTTCTCAGATCATGATGACATGAAACTAAAAACCAATTATACTAAAAACATCCCCAAACATTCAAACACATGGAGGCTAAATAGAATGTTATTAAACAATGAATGGGTTACCAGTGAAATCAAGGAAGAAATAAAAATAACCCGGTAACAAATGAAAATGAACACACAACAACCCAAATCTATGGGGCAGAGCAAAAGCAGTCCTGAGAGGGAAGTTCATATCATTATAGGCTTACCTCAAGAAGAAATAAAAAAATCTCAAAGAAACAATCTAGCCCTACACCTAAAAGAACTAGGGGGGGGGGGGCGGGAAGCCCAGAGTAAGTAGAAGGAAAGAAATAATAAAGATCAGAGTGGAATAGAAGCGGAAATAGCATTCAATAAATCCAGTGCCCATTTATGATTAATGCTCTCAGCAAAGTGGGAATATGGGGATCATCCCTCAACATAACAAAGCCATATATAGCAAACCTACAGCCAACATCATACTTGGTGGGCAAAAACTAAAAGCATTTCCCTTAAGATCAGGAACAAGACAGGAATGTTCATTTTCACCACTCTTATTCAACACAGTACTAAAAGTCCTAACTACAGCAATCAGACAAGAAGAAAAAATAAAAGGCATTCAAATTGGAAAGGAGAAATAAAACTGCCATTATTTGCAGGTGGCATGATTTTATACATAGAAAACCCTAAAGACTCCACCAAAAAAACTGCTAGACTTAATAAATGAATTTGGCAAAGTAGCAGGACATAAAATTAATATCCAAAAATCAGTGGCATTTTTATGCACCAATAATAAACTATCAGAGAAACTTAAAAAAAAAATCCCATTTACTATTACAACAAAAATAAGGTACCTAGGAATAAACTTAACCAAAGAGGTAAAGACCTGTATTTGAAAAACTATGGGACATTGGAGGAAGAAATAGAGGAAGATACAAACATGTAGAAGCATATACTGTTTTTATGGATTGGAAGAATTGGTAGAATTAACATCATTAAAATGCCCATACTACCCAAAGAAATCTATAGATTTGATGTAATTTTTATTAAAATACCAATGGCATATTTCACAGATCTAGAACAAATATACCAAAAATTGATATGGAACCACAAAAGACCTTGAGTAGCCCCAGCACTCAAGAAAGTAGAACAAAGTTGGAGGGATCATAATACTGGATATCAAACTATATTACAAAACCATTGTAATCAAAACAGCATGGTGCTGGCACAAGAACAGGCATATAGATCAATGGAATAGAACAAAGGGCCCAGAAATCAACCCAAGACTTTATGGTCAATTAATATTTGACAAAGGAAGCAAGAGCATATAATGGAGTAAAAACAGTCTCTTCAATAAATGGTGTTGGCCAAACCGGTTTGGCTCAGTGAATAGAGCGTCGGCCTGCGGACTGAAAGGTCCCGGGTTCGATTCCGGTCAAGGGCATGTACCTTGGTTGCGGGCACAACCCTAGTGGGAGGTGTGCAGGAGGCGGCTGGTCGATGTTTCTCTCTCATCGACGTTTCTAACTCTCTATCCCTCTCCCTTCCTCTCTGTAAAAAACCAATAAAATATTTTTTTAAAAGAAAGAAAGAAAGAAAGGAAGGAAGGAAGGAAGGAAGGAAGGAAGGAAGGAAGGAAGGAAGGAAGGAAGGAAGGAAGGAAGGAAGGAAGAAAGAAAGAAAGAAAGAAAGAAAGAAAAAAAGAAAGAAAGAAAGAAAGGAACCCACTGTATGGGAGAACATATCTGCCAAGAATACATCTGATAAGGACTTAATTTCCATAATATATAAAAACTTATACAACTCAACACCAGAAAGACAAAAAATCCAATTTTAAAGTGGGCAAAGCCTTGGCTGGTTTTGCTCAGTGGTTAGAATGTTAGCCCATGAACCAAAGGGTCTCCAGTTCAATTCCCAGTCAAGGGCATGTACCTTGATCAGGTTTGATCCCCAGCCCTGGTCGGGGCATGTGCAGGAGGCAACCAATCAGTGTGTCTCTCTTCTCTCTCTCTCTCTCTCTCTCTCTCTCTCTCTCTCTCTCTCCCCTCCCTCCCTTTCACTCTCTCTAAAAATCAATGGGAAAATATCCTCTGGTGAGGCTTTAAGAAAAAAAATGGGCAAAGGAAGGACCTAAATAGATACTTCTCTAAAGAATACATACAGATGGGCAATAGACATATGAAAAAATGCTAAACATCACTAATCATCAGAGAGATGCTAATTAAAACTACAATGAGGTATCACCTCATACCTGCTAGAATGGCTGTCATCAATAAACCAACAAATAACAAGTGCTGGCAAGGAAGCAAAGAAAAGGAAACCCTGCTGGTGAGAATGCAAAATGGTGTAGCCACTATGGAAAACAGTATGGAGTTTCTTCAGAAAATTAAAAATGGAACTGCCTTTTGACCCAGTGATCCCACTTCTGGGAATATATCCTAGGAATCTTGAAACACCAATCAGAGAGAATACGTGCACCCCTAAGTTCCTACAAGCATTATTTACAATAGCCAAAATCTGGAAGTAGCGCAAGTGCTCATCAGTAGATGAGTGGATAAAAAAGCTGTGGTACATTTACACAATAGAATACTATGGAGCCATAAAAAAGAAGGAACTCTTACCCTTTGCAACAGCATGGATGGACCTGCAGATTATTATGCAGTCAGAGAAAGACAAATATTACATGATCTCACTTATACATGGAATCTAATGAACAAAGTAAACTAATGAATAAAATAGGTCCATAGGCATGGATGCATGGAACAGACTGACAGATCTCAGAGGAGTGGGAGGTGGGGGGAATGGAATGAGATTAACCAAATAACTTAAATGCATAGACCATGGACATAGACAATAGTGTGGTGAAGGCCTCGGTTGGGGTAGGGAGTGAGTGGAGGGGGGCAAAGGTAGGGTTAATGGGAGACATCTGTATTAGTGTCAACAATAAAAAATAAATTTAAAAAATAATAATAATACTGAATAGTCACCATCCTCATATGGCACATGGTTTAGAATGCGAGTGGCTGGGGCCTGAGAGGGGACTGAGCAAAGCTGTATGACAGTGAAAGGAGCAAATATGACACATGAGGACCTGCTCACTAATATCAGTGACTTCAGGTGGATTTCTTTACTTAAAATTTTCACTTAGACATAATTTCAGACTTGCAAAAATGTGGCAAGGGAAGCACAAATGATTTCCAGATACCCTCCACCCAGAATCCCTATTTGGTAAGATTTTGCTACATTTGCTTTCCACTATATTTCAAGAAGATTCAGACACAGAAAAAGGGTGAATCTGTGTTGAGGTATTTTGTTTTCCGACTTCTCCTAAAAATGTTCCCCTGTATCAGAACCCTTCTGGCAGGAACCTTCCTATCACAAAGGCTATAGACTTCCTTCCCCTCCTTGCCCCACCCTCTCCCTTTGCCAAGAGCACAGAAGGGGAAGAAGTGTGCACTTGGGGATGCTGCCAAGACAGAGAGACTGTGTGAAGAAGGAAGGAGTCGCCTGAGCAGAAGGAGTGTATTCTCAGGAGAAAGGGCTCTGTCCACCACACCACGCATAAGACCACCAGGAAGATCCCCACTGCAAACCAATCCAACCTTTCAGGGAGAGAGCAGGTAAGTCTATGTCCTCTCTGCAGATTGTTGGCTCTTCCCCAGTGCCAAGATCTTCAGGGACACCTGTCCTATATGTCAGTTCCTGACATAGTCTTTGAAAGACTGAGGCTTCTGACAGCTGAAGTCAGGATGGCCAAGACTACTAACTAAGGTGCTAGGGAGCAAGAATCATTTCAAGGCTAAGGGTTTTCAAAGTCCAGAAAAGGATTTAGTTCATTAGACAGAATTTAGGAGGCCACAAATGGGAACAGAGCTGAGGCCCAGAGCTGAGGGATGGATGGGTGAAGGAGAGGCAGTGTGTCAAGTTCAAAGGCTCCCAACCAGCACAAAATCCTATCCATCTTTGGGCCTGTGCTGGGTCTCCTCCTTGTACTTGTCAATGGCATGCCTGCCTTCAAACCCCCCTCCCAAGGGTGCTCTGAGAAAGGCATTGGCATATGTCCTAGTGGAGAGAAGTCTTGTCCCCAGACACTGATGGGGGTACTGTGCTCTAATCCCCACAGGCCTCCTCATCTCATCATCATGAACTGGTGGTGCATGATCATCTCTGGGCTTATTGTAGTGGTGCTTAAAGTTGCCGGAGTGACCTTATTTCTGCTTTATTGTGAGTACTTGAGCAACCTCTTACCCCAACTCCATGTTGTCTTGTTCTTGGATCTTTTCTCAGAATGCGTGGTTAAATGTGTAGATTAAGTGCCCAAGTCTTTCCACCTGAGAGCAACTGACAATACCCTTCTCACTTCCCAAAACACACAATGGGCCAGGTTCCTTGCTCTACCTTGGAGACATAGAATTGACTCAGAACCCCACACAAAGCTTTCATCCTAGAGCATTAGTTGGGTAATCTGAGCTGAAATACTCAGCAGTGCTTGCTATTGTTGCTAAAATCTGAAAATTCAGCTGCAGTTCATCCTGTTGTAGGAGCTGTAATATAAGATAATGGGGTTTTTCGAAGGGAGGCATTTCCTTCTGTGTACACAGAAATGAATTCATCTAAATGCTTAGAAAGAAAAGCCTCCTATCAAGGAATTTTACTGCAATTGCAGCAAGTAGAATCTTCTCCAGCCCCAGAAGCCAGTAGGGAAAATAAATGAGGAAGGAAATGTAGTTCAGGAGGCGGTGGTTGGGTAAGAAGTATCTTCCTTATGACCCAATCCAAAGGTACAAGTTGTATCACATCAAAGAGCACGAAGAAAATACAAATATAAATAAGTGAATGTATTCACAAAAAAACATATACGTACATGTCTTTGTGGACCAGAGTCAGACAGTTCTATATTTTCCATTAAAAGTCACAGTGACCTAGCAGCCCCTGTGGGGATGTTTGTTATATTCATCCCACAGTTGGGGCTGAACCAATAGCTGATTTTCTTTGCAGTCCCACAGATTTTTGGCAAATGTAATGACAGCTGCAGTCCCACAGGGAGCTATGGAACAGGTAACATGCATGACAATAATCTCTTCTCCATCACGTTCTAATATGCTGAATTCTCTTTAGAAACCTTTCTCAAGGACTTTTCCCAAGAAGTTCTTTGGCAGGAAATGTGCATAAATATCTGCTAATTTATAAGATATATATATATATATATATATATAGTATATATATATATATACATTCTGGGATGTACATCTAATGTACAAACATGGTGACTACTGTATTCTATACTTGACAGTTGCTAAAAGAGTAGGTCTTAGATGTTCTTACTGCAAAAAAAAGTGGCAATTTTGTGAAGTAATGAAGGTGTTAGCTAACCTTATTGTGGTAATAGATTTTGGAGTATATATTGTATTAAATCATCACACTGTACAACTTAAACTTACACAGTGTTATATATCAATTATATCTCATAAAGCTGAAAAAAGAAAATAAATTAAATGCAACACAGTCAGTAAAAAATCTTCTATTTGGTCCCCTTCCTCTTATAGTTGGGAAACCAAGACTAGCCTGAGTGAAATGCCTGGTCCTCGGTTTTCCTCCTGGGTCTGAGGAGGGAAATTAGTATGGAATCACTATGATGTAATGTGAAAGTACTTAGCAAACTCTGACATGTTGTGTACCTAAAGGAATTGTTATAAAGAAGTCCATTCCCACACACACACAAAAATTGCATTCAGCGTCTTTTTGTGTGCCAAGCACTATACCAGACCAACCAGAGAAGAAGAATAAAAACAGGACATATTCATCAACTATAAAACACAAGGCACGATGCCAGAGCTATGGGGGATAAAGAGATGGGTGAGGCACGGCTCTCCTTCCTAAACCCACCTCTCCCCCTCACTTCCTCTTAAGACACCTACTACTTTGTACATCTTTAAGAGAATAATTGTTTCTTGTTTGTCCCAGACAAACAAGACACTCAGTACACTGTGTTAGTTACATGGAGGGAATACTCATGAAATATTTATGGAGTTCTGTTCAGTCATGATCCCCAAACCAGGTTATTACATATCTCACACACACACACACACACACACACACACACACCTTGGAACTGGAGACTGAAATAAAAAGTGAGTGCTAACTTGTATGCTTTATTAATATAAGTGTAAGTAGCTGTCTGGGTCCACTAAAGAGGTCTTCAACCACAATGGACAAATAATTGGGCCATTGATGATAAATTTTACTGCCTCTGAAGCCACTGCAGCTTCCTGCTCGGGCGGCCAGTGTTCCCAGGAAAAATGAGGCCTCTTGGAGGCCTATAAATTCTCCTACTTATATTCAAATAAATATTTGCCTCTTCTCTGCCCATAGGAAAGCTCTGCAATGTTTGCCTGCCTTCTTGTCTGCCCATAGCTCTGGCCCTGAAACTTGCTCCAGTTAGCCACAGTCCTTAGCGCTGATGAGTTCTGATCAAAGAAGGCTCCAAATGTTGCTGATCATGAGTTTTCATATAGGGTTTGAGGCACCAGAACTGGAGAGAGCAGCAAAGATGCTGTGTAGAGCCTGGAGGGGAAGTGGTCCAAATAGCTCTTTGGATATAACAGTGTCAAATGTGAACATGAGAGAAGAGCAGGAGGTTTCCTTCTGATACTAAATCCATCCATTCTTCTTCCTGTCTCCTGTTCTTTCTCTCAGCATTTCACACCTACATCACACCAATAAAATAAAATAAAATAAAATAAAATAAAATAAAATAAAATAAAATAAAATAAAATAAAATAAAATAAAATAAAAACATGAACTAGAGCTTGGGGTGTGGGACATGACAAATAATGGTAGTAGTTTGATGGAAGGTTCCAAGAAAAAAATCTCTGAAAAAATCTAGCGCAAAATGACCAAGAGCCCCTGTCACCTCTATTGTCCAGGGACAAATAGTCACAGGGACTTGAAGCTGCTCTGAGTTTGTGTGTTATATTCATCACATGCCTACCTTAAGGTTTTCTTTTCCTTTCAGTCCCACAGATTTTCGGGAATGGTAATGACAGCTTCAGTCCCACAGAGAGCTATGGAACAGGTAAAGAGCATCATTATAACTTCCTCTCCACCCCCAGGTTCTTATGTAGTAATTTCTTAAAGACTTTTCCCATTGCCCCCTTTCTAATGAAACTGTTTTGCTCAAAGGAACCCATAAATACCTTCTAATTCATTCCCTTTATGTTATGCATAGGGATACTGAAATTAGATTGGATGAAATTTCTTCCTGGACTGAGGATAATTTGTTTGAATATAATTGTTATAAAGAAACCCATGTTCCACTATATTATGACTCAGTTCCAGGGTTCTCACCTACAACCACTAATATCATGCTCTCTTTTCTTGGATTTCCTTAGTCTGCCCCAGCAGGTGGGATTTTCATCAAGGAAGATGCTTTTTCTTTTCCACCTCTGAAATGTCTTGGAACAAAAGCAGGGACCTGTGTGAAGCACAAGGATCGACTTTGGCCATTGTCAACACCCCCGAGAAATTGGTGAGAGCATGAGAAAGATACAGTAATGCAGCCCACCTGACACCAGTCTCAGTGGGAGGAGGGGTGGGACAATTTGACTGGTGGAGCTGGGGTGAGGTGGGGGATGAAGAGGTGGCTGTCTGGGAGCTCAGGCTCCTTGTTCTGAACCTGGAGCTGGGGTAGCAATGGGGTGTGCTCCTCAGGTCCATTTGAGCTAGTGAAATTCATGAGGCACAGCAGTAGACTGTTATCCTGGGGATGGGTTGGGATATTTAAAGTGCAGGGAATGACCAAATGAGCTGATGTGTATCAAAGTTGTTTAAGAAATATAGAATACTTCAAAGATGTAAGCTATTAATGTATCATGCCAGTCTGCCTCATTAATAAGGAAGATGCCAATTAACAAAATGAGTAAAACACAAATAATCCTATATAATAAGAGGCTAATATGCAAATCGACTGAACAGCAGAACGACCAGTTGCTATGACACACACTAACCACCAGGGGGCAGACACTCAATGCAGGAGCTGCCCCCTGGTGGTCAGTGCACTCCCACATGGGGAGTGCCACTCAGCCAGAAGCTGGGCTCACAGCTGGCAAGCACAGCGGTGGTGGTGGCGGGAGCCTCTCCTGCCTCTGTGGCAGTGCTAAGGATATCTGACTGACAGCTTAGGCCTGCAGGCTCCTGGACTGACGGAGGGCACAGGCCAGGTTGAGGGACCATTCCCTCCCACCCCCAGTGCACAAATTTCATGCACCAGGCCTCTAGTTAGGTCATAGAATTGGGATTGCAGTATACAATTATGATAATAAAAAAACCAACACTATGCAAAAAAGCTTTGTTTTAGTATCTCCTTTTATGCTCATAACAATTCTGAGGAAGTATTATTATCTGTAGTTTATATATAAGGAAATTAGGGCACAAAAAAGTAATTTGGCCGAGGCCATACACCTACTAAAGGACAGCAGATGGAATTGAGATCTCTCTACCTCCAAAACCCATACTCTACTCAATTTTAGACCCTAATATATTTTATTTTGTAGTTGCCTCTTCAAACCCTAAGCATTTGCTGAGTGCTAGGCATTGTGCTACATACAATAATCATGCTTCTTTCCCCTCTATCCCTTCACCCTTCTTCTAAAAAGTACTCCTGTTATTGAGAAGAATTTGTAAGAGGGTCTTCTGTGAACCTGGGATATAGATGTCCAACAAAGAGCTAAGAACCTCCATGGGAAGGAAAAGTACTTTAACATAGAGAACCAGGAGCAAGAGAGTGGGGAGAAAAGAAAAAAGATGAAAGGAATGGAACAGAAAGTCAATAGTCTCATTGTCTCTACTAACCCTTACGTTTTGTGGCATCTCAAGTGTGGTCCTTGGCATTCTCTACTACTTGGCATTCTCCACCATGCCAATCCCAGAGAAAGCTCATCACAGTAGTGGTTTGCTGATGATTCTCAAGTGTGTATCTCCAGCTCGGCCTTCTCCAGCTAGCTTTCTCTAGACCAGACTCTCTCTCTCTCTCTCTCTCTCTCTCTCTCTATATATATATATATATATATATATATATATATATATATTCTCCTTTGATGTTTCAAAAGCATCACAAACTCACCATATTCAAACTGAGTCATTATATTTTACTCCAACTGCTCTTCCTCTTGAATTCCAAATACTTGTGAGTATTTGTGTCACCCAAGAACAAATGCTGACAGTTTCTGGGACTTGATCTTTTCTATTCTCTCCTAAATTAGTTGCTAACCAAATCCTTCCCTATCTTCCTATAGCAATAATTCACCTGTCATCTGGATTTCTTCAAAATTCTTCTAACTCCTCTCTTTATCCCTAGTTTTGACCTGTCTTACCTATCCCCCACAGAACTGATATAATAAAATATGTAAGGCTTTTAACTGTCTGTGCCATTTGCCAAATTAAAATGGGTTAAAGTCCAGCTTCCCCAGCATGACATACAGTACAGCCTCTGCCTTCTGCCAAGGGTTGTGTGCCAGCCCATCTCCCTTCTAGCTCTGCACCAGCCACATTGAACATCTTCTAGTTCCTCAAATGCTCCAGGTTGCTGTGCAGTCTGCTGTGATCTGATGCCCCCCTCTTTCAGAAAGGATAAGTCCTGACCCATGTTTTTGCCTGAAAAACAGCTATCTCCCCAAATTCATTTCATATATCACTTCACCTATAGTCTTTCTGGAAAACCCCAAATCCATGTAGAATTGATCACTTCCCCTTTCTGCCTGTGCCAGATCTAGCATGTATCTCCTGAGACACCTCACTATGTTGGTTGACTCATTATCTTCTCTTATTAGACCTGTGTATCTTCAATGTGTTTGGCATGACTGAGGCTTTAGAAATGGTGGTGAAATCTATGCACCTCTTCCCAAACACATTACATAGGCACAGTATTTTGAATAAAATTCTAACAGCTTCATAGATCCCCTTGGAAACTATCCATGGTTTCCAGCAAAAGGGCTAAAGGTTAAGAAACCTTGTTTTAGACCAGTGATGGCGAACCTATGACACGCGTGTCAGAGGTGACACGTGAACTCATTTTTTTGGTTGATTTTTCTTTGTTAAATGGCATTTAAATATATAATATAAATATCAAAAATATAAATCTTTGTTTTACTATGGTTGCAAATATCAAAAAATTTCTATATGTGACACGGCACCAGAGTTAAGTTAGGGTTTTTCAAAATGCTGACATGCCGAGCTCAAAAGGTTCGCCATCACTGTTTTAGACCATGGGTCAGCGAAATTTTTCTTGAAGAGCCAGATAGTATACGTATATTTCATGCTTTTTGGGTCATAAGGTCTCTGTCACTACTACTTTACACTGCCATTATACCTCAAAAGAAGCCATAGACAATATGTTTAAAAAATGGGCCTGGGTGTATTCCAATAAAACCTTATTTACAAAAATGGGCTACAGTCTAGATTAGGCCCACTGGCTGTAGCTTGCCAACCCTTGCTTTCGATAATAATTTCTTCAGGAGAAATGAATTTGTTTCCATATCCCTAGTATTGTACAATGCCTGGTATGTAATTGACACTCAAATGTTTGTTAAATGAGTAAATTTGCTAATTAATTTTTTTAAATAATAAAATTAGATATGTTTAGGAAGGAGAACATTGAGAAAGGAGGAATAAAGGCAACAGCCATGGGGATAGAGAGAATATCTAAGTGGATTCAGATATCCACTAATTGTGGAAGGTATATGAAGAGTACAGAAGAGGCCAGGAGTTCCCAGACTTCTGGCTGGGGTGATTTGTTGTTCATTAATTAACTATGATGTCTTGGATTAGCACCAAGTTATGAAATACTCAATAAACACTGATTATTTCTCATGGAATTATCTGCTTAGGAATACTCTTTAAATCTCCCTATTTTCTCAAGGAATTCACTTGACCTCAAAAACCTCTTTCAGAATGTAAAATTTCTGGCAAGGAAAACAATGCTATGCAGAGAGAATCTAATAAAGGTACATTTGAAATTGCCTTTTTTGAGATAGTATAGGGCAGTGGTCAGCAAACTGCGGCTCGCAAGCCACATGCGGCTCTACCATTGGTATAGGGAATGTGTTAGAAATTGAAATCTTTAGAGCCCTACAGCAGACCTATGCAGATCTACTGCACCAGAGCCCAACAGCCTGTGTGAACAAGAGCTCCAAGTGGTCCTGACGCTGTGTGTAGACTGAGAATTACTTCTCTAGGATTTATGTTGAGTGTCAGCCACAGAGTCCTCTACCAGCCTTCCTTGTTCCCAGAATCAGATATGATCATGGGCCCACTAGCCCCAGGAAGCAAGAGCAAAGAACCTTCTGTTGAACTGTTTGCTTGTTTTTTAATTCCTAGAAGTTCCTCCAGGTCATAGCTGGAGCCGAGAAGTATTTTATTGGCTTACTATACCAGCAGGCAACGAAGAGGTGGCATTGGATCAACAATTCCGTTTTCAACGGCAAGTATGTGAACAACCCACATTTTTCTAGGGAACTTTGTTCACTTTAGGAGTCCAGATCTGAGATTCAGTGGATTTGTCCTGGAAGAGCACAAAGCTTAGACCTAGTTCTCTGTTCTGCTTCTCTCCTTTCTTCCAACCCATCCATTCCCAGAGATACATTTTTTGGTAATTTTTTTATTATGGAACATACCAAACATTTCTAAATAGAGAGAAGAATATTCATACAACAAATTATTTTGTTCAAATTAGGATCCAAACAAACCCACATACTAGTACATACCATTTGTTTGATCTATCTCATAAGTCTCTTTTAACCCCCAGATCATATTTTATTACTAAGTTCTGACAAGTTTCCCAGATGTGGCTTCTTTATCCAAAGAAAGATAATCATTAGCAACTTGTCTCTGTCTTAAAGTTATAAACTTTAATTCCCAAGAGCTATCTCCTATCTTTCATTCCATGGACATAGCATTGGTGGAGAACATGGCATTGCCAGTGTACATCTGAAGAGGCTGAGTCAGATAGAAAGCAAGTCCATTCCCTGCCTGTAACTGGGCTTCCCACAGAGGAGTGGAAATTAATATTCACTGTCGAATAAATGCCAGACACTTTACACATGTCATTCCTGCACTATCCACAATGATGCTACAGAAAAAAAGCTTTTGTTAATCCCCATTTCACAGACAGTTGGATGGAGGATAAGTGACTTAGAAATGTGTTGAGTGTCACCAAGCTGAGAATTGATGGAGCCACATTTTGATCCCACATACACTTGACTTCATAACTCTTGACCTTTCCATGAAGCCAGACTCTTTCCAGTCAGCCTAAAAGAGCCTGACTGACAGAAAAAGAGGTGTGAGAGGCCAATGAAGTATTTCTTTCCTAAAGCCACCTGCTGCCTAGGACAAGAAGCATCTTCCTCCTCTCAGTCCTCTTGCTGTGCACATAGTACCTTCAGTACTAAAACATTACTTCTGGGAGGAAGTGGAACAAATGACCCATGTGGTGCTTCTAACCAAACACAGTGAGTCAGTCCAAGACTGTGAGTCCATAAACATTCACATGAGAGTTGACAGGAAAGGGTCAGTTTGGAGATGGATTTGGGGATAAAAGGGGGACTGGAATCAGGAAAAGGCAGGGCTGAACTGATGGGCCTTAACCATGTTGTTTTCTCATTCAGTATTACCAATCAGATTCAGAATTTCAACTGTGTGACCATAGGCCTAACAAACACATTTGATGCTGCATCATGTGACGTTTCGCACCGCTATATCTGTGAAAAGCGTGCCAAATGATCGAGTTCTCTGTGGTCTCTGACAAGAACAACCAACATACTTATGAAGATAGCAAAAGAGAACATTGACAATTGGGACTGATCCAAGAAATAGAGAATATCAAATTACTGTGTCTGTCTTCCACGGGTTACTGGCTGAGCTCCCTAACCAATCCTCAAGGCTAATGCACGTGCCCCTTTACAGATATACTTGCATGTACACAACTGAGGCAAACCCCCCATTCTGAGCCAGTAATTCCTCAAGAGTCCATTTCCTGTGAGAGTCGCATCTGTGATTCTTTTTTATCTGAACAAGTCATGAAGTCAATGATCCCTTTGTGCATCTGTAGACAAGAAGAGGCTTGGCTGTTTGGGGGAATGAACTTCTGTATTCCACAAGGGGGACTGGATACTAGCCATCTCCAGGAAACATGAACAGTTTTGTGGAGGCAACTCAGTTGGTATAAAGACAGCTATGTTTCTGTAGAACTGAGCATTTCTCATTGGTCAACAGGGCTGAGCCTGTTGCTAGGGTCTGTCTGATCCTCAGAGCACCTGGCCATACTACCAGGGAGAAACTGCAGACTGAGCAGGTGTGAACCTTATTTAGAGAGCAGCAAGGGTGGAAGATGAATAAACTCCACTTCTGTGCCCCCATCTCTGTTCCCAAGAGACCCCTCCACACACCCTTTATCCCTGCCCCTGGTCTGAACTGAGGCCAGGCTCTGGGAAGGACTCTTGGAGCCAAGCTTGGAGCAGAGAGAGTGTTGTTCCAGGGATTGAGGAGGAGTCTTGGCAGGCCAGGAATCTGCTAGGAAACCCCTTTTAAGACAACCCAACAGTCAAGATGATCAAGCTGACTGAATCTCTGTTCTTCAACAAAGCTCTAAGAGAGACTCAAGCTAACAATGTTCTTGGTCTTGGCCTGAATCTCCATTTTAACAGATTCTTATTATCTGATCATATTTGTTGAGTATATTGTAACAAACTGGGGTAGTCTCCTGGGCCCCAGTGATCACAACATATTCCTCTTTGCAGTTCTGTAGCGACCCTGCCAGGTACAGTTTTGCACTGGTTGACATCACACTGATCCCAGACAAGTCCAGCTGATCAAGAATTAGAAAAGAAGGGGAGGGATGCTCAAGGAAACATTGGGTGGAGGCAAGGAGTGAGCATATAGGAGAAAGGGCACACCAGGAACAAATGGAAATCATTCCGGAGGAAATAAGAGTCCATTTGGCCCGATGGGAAGGAAGGCAAGAAAGAGGTAGAAAAATCATGGGGTATCCTGTCTGTTCTCTGTACTCAACATAGCCTACAGACCCTCCTCAGTGCATGGAAAAGAGAAAAGAGATGCCCATGGGTTTTCAGTAGCAAGAATTAAACCATGAGAGACTGTACAAAATAAATGGAAATTATAGTCACCTAAGTAAAATGCTTACCATTTATGTCTAATAAAATAAATGTCATTAGATGGATGTCAAATTAAATTATTGTCAGTTTTACTTTTATTATTATACCACTAAGCTCTGTTCCTGTGTTACTAAGCGTCATAGTTTTTGGGTAATTAGCATGCCACTTATTTATAATTTTAAAAAATGATATAATTAGAACTTGCTTGAAGGAGATTGCCAGAAACAATTTGTGTTTGGGGTAGAGTGGATGTTGGAATTATATTAGTAGTCTCATGGTGTTCGCAAAGACCAGTGCTGCAGTTGAGGAGGGAGGAAAGGCTAGGTGTGTGGTAAAAAAAAAAAAAAAAAAGAAAAGAAAAAGCAGAATTCTAACCAAAGTTAAGCCTCAGAATTCAGACAACAGAGTGAAAACCACAACCGTCTGTTTTGAGAAGGGAGAACTGTGGTTGCCACACTTCCTATGCGATGACAGGAGAGATTGCAAACTTTTAGAGTCCGGAAATGTAGACATCTAGTGATTTCCCTAGGAGACAGCTCAAATTTTCCCCAAGATAAGGAGGTGTTCTATCCCAGTTCTAAAAGAGGTCCCATGAGATGGGCTGGGGTGCTGATGGGGAGTATATAGGAAATATGTGGACTATGGTTTAAGTTTATTACTGGGGTCAGGGGTGGTCAGATATTAGGATATATAAATGTCACCTTATAGGATAGCAGCAGTGAGGTTTTCATTTTTTTATTATATATATTTTTAATCCTCACCTGAGGATATATTTATTGATTTTTAAAGATAGGGGAAGGAAGGGGGGAAGAGAGAGAGAGAAAGAGAGAGAGAGAGAGAGAGAGAGAGAGAGAGAAACATTGATCGGTTGCCTCCCATATGTGCCCCAACTGGGGTTGAACCCACAACATAGGTATGTGCTCTGACCTGAAATCGAACCCACAACCTTTTTGGTTTACAAGACAATGCTCCAACCAACTGACCACCCAGCTGGGCTGTGTTAGAGTTTTTAAAAAAAGCAATGTAAATCTAATAAACCACTGGATTGGAGTTTTGACTCTGCTTCCAATATGGTATGGGAATCTGTATAGAATTCTTATGTTTTCTGTGTCTTAATTTCCTTATGTATAAAATGGGGCAGTAATCTCTCTCACACAAAATTCTTGCATATAATGAATAAGATCCTCACTATGTGTCTCAATGGTGATAAATAATAGGGGAAGCCCTTAGTGGAATATTTGCAGTTAAGACCTTTATCTTAGAATTGGCTCTTCAATTTGACTTTTCATTCTCTTGATAGTGTCCTTCGATGCACAAAAGATTTTAATTTTGATGAATTCCAATTTATCTATTTTTTTCCTTTTATTGCCTGTGCTTTTGGTGTCATATCCATTAAATTGCTGCCAAATCCAGTGTCATGAGACTGTTCCCTATGTTTTCTTCTAAGAGTTTTATAGTGTCAGGTCTTATATCTAGATCTTTAATCTATTTGGAGTTAACCTTTGTATATGGGATAAGGTAACAATCCAAATTCATTCTTTTGCATGTAGATATCCAGTTTCTCCACGTGCCAGGTTTTTAATCTCATAAGATTGAAAATAATGTTCTATACAATTTTTTCCTTCTTGAATCTAATTATAAGCATATATCTAGATTAGAGAAGCAACAGACTATAACAACAAAAGCAAATTACTACATGTAATATTACCCTATTTTAGACAAACATAATCTTACACCCCTGGATTGAAGTTAGGCATTGTGGTAGATTATATTTTTGTTCACAAATTCACTGTCCCTCCCTGCAGGAGGACAATCCTTTCCTATCCTGCTGATAGCAGGCTTGGCCTTGTCACTTGCTTTAGCCAATGAAGGCTGACCACAATTTACCATACTCTTCCCCACCCCCACCCCAGTTGGAGGCTGCCCCATTAGCCTGGACTATACAGAGGATAATGAGGAGCAGAGAGACAATTGACCCATAGTCAAATACTGGGAACAGAATAAACATTTGCTGTTGTGAGCTATGAAGATATTTGAGGTTGTTTGTCATCATAACATACCTAGACTATCTTGATGCAAGAATGAATATCAAGTAGTTCACATAAAGATATACAATTAGCATTGCACAAGTTAGCAGTGTAGGTTATTTAGCACACTGGTTAAGCAGATGAACTCTGATGCCAGACTGCCTAGGTTTGGATCCTGGGCCCCTACATACTAACAATGTGACCTTGGGCAAGTCCCTTCCTGTCTCTGTACCACAGCAATGCTTTTCCTAAGCTTGCAACTTTTATGTTAAAAACTAAAAATATTTCCTAAAATATTTTGATTTAACAGGTAGCTCCATTTACCAAATGTCTTCCAGTTAGAGAAATATGTGTCTGTAAATAAGCAGGTATTCCTGTATAATAAAAGAAATAAATACATAAATTCATAAATTAAAAAGGGTGAGAGGTTGAATTACTACATCCCTACGAAACAAAATAAATGCAATTATTTTATTTTTATAGGCAATATGCACACATGATTACACAAATAATAAAAAAAATCTTAAAAGGCATGCAGTGAACAGTCTTGCTCCCTTCCCCATTCTTTGTGCCCATCCCCCTACCACAATCCCATAGGCAACCACCTATTAGTTCCTTATCATGTTGTTAACAAGCAAATTCTATATATATAAAAGCCTAAGTGACTGTTACGACCGAACAACCAACTGGAACAACCAGAAAAACCAGTCAACCGTTCACTATGACGTGCACTGACCACCGGGGGCAGGCGTTCAATGCAGGAGCTGTCCCCTGGTAGTTAGTGCACTCCCACAGAGGGAGTGCTACTCAGCTGACTGACCAGTCACAGCAGCCCACCAGCCTGGCAGCAGCCACTCCCTCCCTCAGTAATCCTGCAGGTCCAATCTCTGGAGAACAGGCCAGGCACCCATGGACCAGCACCACTGGCATGATCCCAACAGCGCCGCAGGCCTTCTGGAAGTCAGCCTTGGGCACCACGGCCACTTCCCCTCTCTAGATGCTCCACAAGGAAGAAACAACATAAAAGCGGCTGCCAGGTGACTCCCGACAACTGGCACAAATGTCAGTGGGATGGATCCAGATCCCAGGCCAGCAAGGGCATTTTACCGCCTGCCCCGAAGGGCTGATTGCATCCCCCCACACCCGGACCCCACCCATGCATGAATTCGTGCACCGGGCCTCTAGTATAAATATAAATATGCAGCGGGTCCTGGGCAATTTGTTACAATGTTGCCATAGGAACTTAACTCTCATTTATATCAATTCACTTATGGTAAAACTGGCTTTATACTACATCATTTTGCCACTGTTCCATGGACCTATCAACAACATTAAGTGAGGACTTACTGTACATTCTTTTCTACTCCGTCCTTACACAAAAGGCTGAATACTGAAATTCAATGTGAAATTCAATGTACTTTGCTTTTCTCACTTACCAATATGGCTTGGAGATCATTTCTAACCATTGAAAAAAGAGCTTCTTTATTCTTTTCACAGCTACATAACATTTCATTGTACAGATAAACATAATTTTTTTAACCAGCCACCTATTGATGTCCCATTCAATTACTAATATTACAAAAGTGTTGTAGCAGATGAAACTGTGCTTATGACATAAGCAATGGAAACAGTGGCTGGAACAGAGTGGGGCAGACTAGGGGGAGGGCAAGGTTGGGAAATGCAGGAAATGAGGCATGAGAACAGCTCAGTGAAGAGCTGGATAATAGCACCGTAAACTTGGGGGTTGGGAGGAGCACAGGAAAAGGAGAACTAAGAAATACAGTGGAGTATCAGAGCCACAGACAAAGCCTATAAAGAGGAATCAGGAGAGAACGTGGGCAGGAGACGACAAACAAATGACGGGGAGAGGAAGCAGCAGAGGGTGGTGTCATGGACCATGAAAGGGCTGGAGAATGTGGGAAAGGCACTTCCTCTCAGCCTGGGAGCCAGCTTGGTTTGTCACTTCAGCCTCATGCAGCAGCTCTGTTGCCCCACCTCCTTTGTGACAGGCAGCATGATCTGGGGCCTGTCAAGTGAGAGAATACCTCCTTGCCTAGCTCTTCCTCAGAAAGTCCACGACTTAAGAGATGTGTCTGTATGTAAAAGTCAAACCACCCTGGGATTGCAAAGGTGCTCAGAATTGTGGAATGAGTTCCTTCTCTATACTATACAGAGAAGAAATGAGGCAATAGGACTTTGGGAAAGAAAACCAACGAAATGTGTTTGAGCCAGAAAAGGAATAGAGAGCTTTACATGTAGGACACAAAGCACAGGACATATTATGGGAAAATGATTCAAAACCTAGAATAAAGTAGTCATTCAATTTTTCGGTTGGAGAATATTTTGTCTAGCCTTTTCTGTTTAGAAATCTAAATATTTCATTTATTATTTTTACATTTAGTTTTTAAAAGTTTTACTGTGAAATATGTCATAATTTGAAAAAGCATATGTGTTTGCGCACACACAGGGTAGAGCAAAAGTAGAGTTGTGAGTATGCAAAACAAAGAGTTTATTCTTGTATTATTATTTACTAATTATTGTATTATTTTCCATACAAACAACTGTGAACCTGCTTTTGCCCCACCCTATATATGTATATATAACAAATTGGATTTTAAGATAATAAAATGAATTTTTTAAGATAATAAATTAAATTTTCAAGTTAATAAGCAACCACATTAAAAACCATGGCCATGACTTAAAAGATAAGACTTTTGTTGCACACAGACTACTTGATGATGACAAGATGCAGCTCCAAAGATAAGTAAGTACTTTTCAGTTTATTCTAGAATCCATAAGAGTTTCCCCATGTGAAAGCCTTAGGGCATGAGAATCCCGCCCCCACCCCAGCATGCACCCTTGTCTCTCAATTCACAGGACATCCTATTTCCAACTGCTCTGACCTACCATCCTGTCTACTTCCCTGCTCATTTTTACCACCACCCCTTCCATCCTCAACGGCCTTAACTGTCTTCTATGCTTGTTATGCAATGCTCTGCAAAATACTTTTAAACAGTTACAAGAAACTATCCCTAACCAACCCCACCCAGATATGGTTATTTCTTTCCTTTGTATCCTCCAAGACAAGGCTCTATTTGCATTGTATTCTAAAGGTTTTTTTTTTCTCCAGTTGTATTTATCAGTTTGGGGCTGTTGTTGGGAAGTGGGGTCTAACCAAGACACCATCACAAGAAAAGAGCTATTCTGAGACAAAGTAACGAGTCTTTCCCTAACTTGCTGGCTCCTTGAAGTGGATTACCCAGCTCTTTCCATTATTGTTATGATGAAAGCCATCCTCCACCTCTCATTCAATAAAGCTCTGAGATTTCTCATTTCCTCCAGCTCTGAGATTTTGATGCCTCTGGTCCCCAGATGACAACAGAGAAGTGGGGTCCAGAAGGAACTTCTGTCTGTTCTGTATGGTCTCTACCCCGGGGCTAGAATACAAGAAAACAATTGCTATAGAGGCAACATCCTTCACATTCTCCCGTCTATAATTCCAGCAGGGGATACAAGACCTGGGCAGTTTGTGCCTCTAACCAAACTGCCGTCGTCTCTGTCTCATAGAGCAACTTGGAAAATTCCAAATAGCATATCTGCTTGTCTGTGACATTCCATTTTCTCCAGAGCCCTGAGATAAGGAAAAATATTAGAAGATACCAAAATAGATCACACGGAGTTCCTTAGAATGTCTAGGCTCCTTCCCTTGACCTTGAGTAACAGCCATGCAGATCTTCACTTAAATATCTTCTCTTCTTGGGCCCTTTTCCTCTCA